GCAAATGAAAGGATGAAAGGAAGGGGCTCAGCCTCATACATATGCATAGTTGTGACATTGTGAACTCACAGGGTTAAGCACAGAAGATGATGACTAATTATGTTTGCCACCTGTCATATCAAAAGATGTGCTGAGCACAGGGTGGCAATGACCGACCCCTCCTCTGCCCATCTCTTTCACTTCCTCTTTCTTCGTGGCGATCTCCGTCACTCTCAGGTCTTCTCAGCGTCCTTCTTGCCTAGTTTAATTTCCCTGTCAGGCAGTCTGCTTGCTGTATGTGTGACTAAGCCTCTAGATTCCTTGCTTGTTGACTCAGCAGTTAAGTGCATTAATTCCCCATCTCTCTCACTCATTTGGTATTCTGTCGGATAGAAAAACAAAAGTGTTCTCTGGCTAGCTAATTCCACATGAATCTATATGTAAACATATCATAAAACAGAGTTTAAAACCCCGGCTTAGAGTAGAGTCACAGCACTGTTACAAAGCTGAATAGCTACTTTCAGAACGTATATGCACCGACTGGACCCTTAAACTTACATGCACTGCCTGTGCGCTTGGCCTCAGTGCATCATATACATATATTCACAGAGGTCAGACCAAGTCAGTTGGTGCTTGGCCATGTCTGCTTTCCTTAAAGGATGAGAGACGGAGTATGAGCGCATCAGCATTCAGTCAGAGAAAGGGTCATTAAATTGTCCTGACTGTGTGTGTGTGAAAGAGAGAGAAAAAGTGAGACAGACAGACGGAGAAGCAAAACCTTCCAGATGCTTGTAGATTCTTCTTTCTCTCACTGGTCATCTGCTATGCTGTACAGCCAGTCATGGTATTGAAATGGGCAGAGTCTCGCTGTCATTGTCTCATTGACTTTTGAGGAGGGCCCCTGCAGTCAGTAGGACTGTGCTGAATTCGCTTTTGAACCCACATCTGGGAACCGTGTTTAACAGGCCGGTCAGAGAGAAGAAGACGCGCAGAGAGAGAGGAAGAGGAAATGGAGAGTGGAAACAAAGAGACGTCTGGGAGAACAGAGGGCGAGCGAAGAGTGAAAGGAACGCAGCGAGCGGAAACACAGAGAGAGTTGAGACAGAAATGAGAAAGAGAGAGGGTAGGCAGATAAACAGAGGTCGACATGTGGTTCAGGCTCTGGGCAGGATTATGGTGTAGGCTCCTAGCAGTGAGCCCTGAGGGTTTTAGCCAAGCACCACTGCTATAAGTGT